AACGCTGCATGCTGTTAGACTCAGAAAAACAAGCAGTCTGCTGACATCAATAGATGTGGTGGCCTAATCCAATCACAGTGCTTACCCATAGGATTGGCTGAGACTGACAAAGAGGCAGATCAGGGGCAGAGCCAGCATGATTCAAACTCAGCCCTGGCCAATCAGCATCTCCTCATAGAGATGAATTGAATCAATGAATCTCTATGAGGAAAGTTCAGTGTCTGCATGCAGAGGGAGGAGACGCTGAATGTTTGGATGCATTTTAGGCAGCCATGACCCAGGAAGGATCTCTAACAGCCATCTAAGGAGTGGCCAGTGAAGTTATCACTAGGCTGTAATGTAAAGACTGCATTTTCTCTGAAAAGACAGTGTTTACAGCAAAAACCCTGACGGTAACGATTCTACTCACAAGAACAAATTCAATAAGCTGTAGTTGTTCTGGTGACTCTAGTGTCCCTTTAACTATATTCATTGTCAGCCAGTCCACACAAGTTTTGTTCCCATACATCCCTCTTAAGTTTCCATACTTAAGTAAGGGTATGTGAAAAGTAGTTAGGGTTGCCACCTTTCTTGGAAAAACATACCGGCCTTGCTAATTTGCATAATTAAATATGTGTGGGTGACATCACATGATGTAAATCACAAGGAGTGACATAAGAGAAAATGCTGTAAAATCACCCAAAAACTACTTAGTTTGATTCTGCTGTATAGATGGATTCCTCCCAGTGGCCCCATGTCTCCCAGTGCCCCCATGTGTCGAATAGGGGTTATGTTAGGGGTTATGAATTTACTTGAAAGATGAAAACATAAATTAGTGAGAGATTAGCCTAGGGTATGTGTTTTCTTATAGCTGCTGTTTTCTTTCTCTCCAGCACCATCTCCATCAGATACATGATGCTTGGGAGTGTTTTACTGTTTTTGGTCGATATGATTCTGTAATTAGGCCCATCATAATTGTCAGCACCAGGTCCACTGGGCTCTTAATCTGGCCCTGTATATATATATATATATATATATATATATATACATACATACATACACATGTATTATATGTGTGTGTGTGTGCATATATATACACACACATAAAAAACAAATAAAAATGCTAACTTTGGCCAGCGTTTGTGACTAAGTGGCTACTACAAAAGACTGGAAATACCCCATTTGGAATACCCTGGGTTGTCTACATTTGAAAATGGTATGCCATGATTGCGGGTTATTTCACATTCCTGGGCTATCATAATGTCTCAAAAGGCAACACAGACCCAGCAAACCAATCTGGCAAGCCCTGTATTGACCATGTACCTTTTCAAACCACCATAAAACCTGTACATGGGGGTTATTGTTATACTCGGGAGACTTTGCTGAAAATTTATATGAGTATTTACAACAGTAAAACTTGTCACGACGATGAAATCACCAGTAAAAGTGCAGTTTTTGTGTAAAAATAATGCAAAAAACAAATATGAACGCTAACTTTGGCAAGCGTTTGTGGCTACAAAAGACTGGACATACCCTATTTTGAATATCCTGGGGTATCTACTTTTACAAATGGTATGCCATGATGGGGTTACTTTTCATTACTGGGCTGCTATACGGTCTCAAAGGCAACATAGGCCCAGCAAACCAATCTGGCAAATTTCAATGTGCAAACTTGGAAAAGGGAAAGCCTTACATCCTCTAAGGGGAAAACCCATACATACAAACCGGTACATTGGGGGCACTGTTGTACTCGGGAGATATTGTTGAACACATATTGGGGTGTTCTTTGTCAGTAACACATAACAGGAATTGAGAATCCATGCCTAAAGTACAATGTGAGAGAAAAATAAGACAAAAAATGACTACCCAAAAATATATGGTTTGATGGGGATAAATTACATTGGCCAACTTCAAAATGTCCCAAATAGGACATGGGTGCATGATGACCAGCTGTGAAAATTCCAAGTTGGAAACACATTACTCACATTACTTGAAAGCAGCCTCTATTAAGTAGACTCTTTCAAGTAGGAGTTAGAAAACCAGGAGTTACTTGGAGTGGTTTGTATACTGTGGAGAGTGGTTTGTATACTGTGGAGAGTGGTTTGTATTTTATTTTTGTTTAATCTTTAAAGTTGGTAAGGTTTAAAAAAAAAATGTTTTGTTAAAATTTACTTTTTTTTTTTTTTCTGTGTTCTGGTTTTCCCCCCTTTTTTTGTGCTGCTGCTTGATTGATTGGGGGAGTGTTCATTGTTTGCACCTGTGTGGGATTTGTATCCCCATAAAGGCACACCCCTAACTCACTGAGCTTGCTCACATTACTTGAAAGCAGCCTCTATTAAGTAGACTCTTTCAAGTAGGAGTTAGAAAAACAGGAGTGAAAACAAACAAGGGGTTTAAACTAACAAGGTAATTGTTTTTTTTTTTCTGTTTCAAGGGGATATGAGTGTTAGCAAGATTGCTGGTTTAACTCAATGCACATCTTGTTGCATGTATGGATGCCTGGATGTACCCGTCCAGGGTCCATACCTCTGTGATGGTTGTGTGAGAGTGGCTTCTCTGGAAGCTCAGATTGGAGATCTCGAGAAGCAAATCACAACATTGAGGGAGATTGACAATCTTGAGAGGAGTCTACTGCTCACTGAGCAGAGTTTAGTGGGGACAGGTAGTGGAGAGGGAGGAGATAAGACAGATGGGGAACAGGCATGTAGCTGGGTGACAGTGGGGCGAGGAAGCAGGGGGGGAGGGAAGAGGAAAGGGCTAGCTAGTCCTGATTTGGTGCAACCTAGCAGATTTGCCCGTTTGAGGGAAGATGTTGGGAGCATCAGCTCAGGAGTAGCTGTATTAGAGGAAGCTGTTACTTCTAACAGCCGAGCTAACAGCCCCCCTAGTACGGGTGGGGATCAAAATGTAAGGAAGGCAAGACAGGTTGTGGTGGTAGGGGACTCTATCATTAGGAGAGCAGATAGGGCAATCTGCCGCTCTGATCGGCTCAACCGGACAGTTTGCTGTCTCCCGGGTGCTCGGGTCCGGCATGTTGCTGACAGAGTGGATGGATTATTGGGAGGGGCTGGGGATGACCCAGCGGTCATGGTCCATATTGGTACCAATGACAAAGTAAGAGGAAGATGGAAGGTCCTAAAGAATGATTTCAGGTAATTAGGTAGCAAACTTAAGAAAAGGACCTCCAAGGTGGTGAGATATTACCTGTGCCACGCACTACAGTGGAAAGGCAGCGGGAGATTAGAGAGGTCAATGCGTGGCTTAAGTCTTGGTGCAGGAAGGAGGGTTTTGGGTTTTTAGAGCACTGGGCCGACTTTGCGATTGGGTACAACCTTTATAGTGGTGATGGATTGCACCTAAACGGGAGAGGGTCTGCAGTGCTAGGGGATAGGATGGCTAGAAGGTTGGAGGAGATTTTAAACTAGTAGTAGGGGGGGAGGGTCATAGCAATCTACAAAATGGAGATAGGACAGAAAGGAGATGGGCTTTAGCACAGTATAAGGGGGGTGGAAACGGGGGGAGGGGCAAGCTCAGAACAGAGAAGCTGTGTAATGTTGAAAATTCACAAAATATACAAGTGGCGCATAATATTAAATGTATGCTTACTAATGCAAGGAGCCTAAATAACAAAATGGGGGAACTAGAGGCATTAGCATACACTAAACAATATGATATAATAGGCATAACTGAAACATGGTGGGATGAGACACATGACTGGGCAGCTAACTTAAATGGGTACATGTTATTTAGGAAGGATAGGAAAAACAAGAAGGGTGGTGGGGTATGTTTGTATGTCAAACATGATTTAAAGCCAAATGTTAAGCAAATGGAATGCGAGGAGGATAATGTGGAAGCTTTATGGGTAAATATCTGCTTGGGGGAAAAGAAGGGAAACCAACTATTGGTTGGGATATGCTATAAACCATCTAATGTTAATATTGACGAGGAACAACAGCTGTTTGAGCAAATTGAGAAAGCTGCAAATCTGGGTAACACTTTAATTATTGGAGATTTTAATTACCCGGATATAAATTGGGACAGAGGGACTAGTGCCTCAGCAAAGGGAATTAGGTTTTTAAACTTGTTAAATGACACCTTCATGTCACAACTTGTGCAAGCACCAACTAGAATGGATGCTTGTCTGGACCTGGTTTTAACAAACAACGTTGATCTTTTGACCAACATTCAAGTAGGTGAGCACTTGGGAAATAGTGATCACAATATAGTGTCCTTTGAAATAAACTCAAAAAAACAAAAGCACATGGGGAATACTAAAACATATAATTTTAAAAAAGCCAATTTCAATAAGTTAAGGGAAGCTTTACAATATATTGACTGGCATAAACTCTGTAGTGAAAAGAATACTGAGGATAAATGGATCATCTTCCAACAAATATTACAAAGGTACATTTCTCAGTATGTACCGTTGGGAAATAAATATAAAAGAAACAAATTAAAACCAATGTGGCTTAGTAGAGAAGTAAAACAAGAGATTACAACTAAGAGAAGGGCATTTAAAGCATTTAAATCGGACAAATCAGATGCATCTTATAAAAGATATAAGGATGCAAATAATGCGTGCAAAAAGGCATTTAGACTTGCTAAACTTCAAAATGAAATAATGATAGCTGAAGAGAGCAAAACCAACCCCAAAGCATTTTTTAAGTACATAAATTCTAAAAAAAACAAAAATGAAAGTGTAGGTACACTAAAAACTGAAACGGGGGTGTTAGTTAATGAAGACCAGGAAAAGGCAGGAATTTTAAATAACTATTTCTCCTCCGTATATATTAGGGAAGAACCCATGGCAATAGATGTGCAAATGATTGCTACTAAAAACTTGCAGAATAATTGTAATTGGTTAACTCAAGACAAGGTGCTGCAGCAACTAAAGAAAGTTAATATAAACAAAGCTCCTGGGCCTGACGGTATCCATCCACGTGTACTTAAGGAACTAAGTGCAGAAATAAGTGAACCTCTGTTTTTAATATTTCAAGATTATTTTCTTTCAGGAAGTGTTCCGGAGGATTGGAGGAAGGCAGATGTGGTTCCTATATTCAAAAAGGGTTCAAAATCCTTGCCTGGAAATTATAGACCTGTGAGCTTAACTTCTGTGGCTGGTAAAATATTTGAAAGGTTATTAAGGGATAATATTCAAGAATTCCTTGAGAAGATCATGGTTATCAGCAAAAATCAGCATGGTTTTATGAAGCACAGGTCATGTCAAACTAACTTGATTGCGTTCTACGAAGAAGTAAGTAGAAGTATAGATCAGGGTGTTGCCGTGGATGTGATCTATTTGGATTTTGCCAAGGCATTTGATACAGTTCCGCACAATAGATTAGTGTTCAAACTCAAGGAAATCGGTCTAGATGAAAATGCTTGTTCTTGGGTAGAACATTGGCTTAAAAACAGAGTACAAAAAGTTGTCATTAATGGTAAATTTTCAAGCTGGACAGAGGTGGCAAGTGGTGTCCCTCAGGGATCTGTTCTGGGACCCCTTCTATTTAACATGTTTATAAATGATCTTGAAGACCGCATTGAAAGTCATGTTTCAGTGTTTGCAGATGACACCAAACTTTGTAAAACAATACAATGTGAGCAAGGTATTACTTTGCTGCAGAGGGATTTAGATAGACTGGGGGACTGGGCACTCAAATGGCAGATGAAATTTAATGTTGAAAAATGCAAAGTTATGCAATTCGGCGTAAAGAATACACAAGCAACGTATACCCTTAATGGAAGCGAATTAGGGATAACAACACATGAAAAGGACTTGGGAATTGTTATAGACAACAAACTATGCAACAACGTGCAATGTCAATCAGCAGTGGCCAAGGCCAGTAAGGTATTGTCAAGCATGAAAAAGGGCATACATTCTCGGGACGAGAATATCATTTTGCCTCTTTATAAATCACTGGTAAGACCCCATATTGAATATGCTGTGCAATTTTGGGCACCTGTTCTAAAGAAGGATATTATGGCACTAGAAAAAGTGCAGAGGCGGGCAACAAAATTAATAAAAGGAATGGAACATATCACCTATGAAGAAAGGTTAACAAATGTAAACCTATTTAGTTTAGAAAAACGTCGCCTGAGAGGGGATATGATAACATTATACAAATATATTCGGGGCCAATACAAACCATTGTGTGGAAATCTATTCACAAACCGGACTTTACATAGGACACGAGGCCATGAGTTTAGACTGGAAGAAAGATTTCGTCTAAAGCAAAGGAAAGGTTTTTTACTGTAAGAACAATTAGGATGTGGAATTCTCTGCCTGAAGAAGTGGTTTTATCAGAGTCCATACAGATGTTCAAACGGCTACTAGATGCATACTTGCAAGAACAGAATATTCAAGGATATAATCTTTCAATGTAGGGTAATAACTGCTTGATCCAAGGATAAATCTGACTGCCATTCTGGGGTCAAGAAGGAATTTTTTTCCTAGCTTGTTGCAAAATTGTGCTTCAAACTGGGTTTGTTTGCCTTCTTTTGGATCAACAGCAAAAAACAAATGTAAGGAAGGCAGAACTTGATGGACGCAAGTCTCTTTTCAGCTATGTAACTATGTATATACCTTCTTTTTTTCCATCTATCTTTATAATTTTTCTGAAATTTCATGGGGGGAGGGGTTTTAGCTTCATATTTCACAATTGGCTGTCCAATTGTTTCTATAGGAGATTTGTTATAGGATGCTCATTAATTATGCAAATATTTTACTTTTTGATAAATTATATAACAAAATTAAATAAACTTTAAAAAAAAAAAAAAAAAAAACTGTAAAGCCAGTCAGACATTTCTCTTTCGGCTTTAAAAACGTTCTTTAGTATAGTAGGATGAGAAGCTTGTCGGGACGTCTCGGATGAGGCTTGAAGATTAAATGTTATGCTCTGTGTCTGCTTCATATATGTTGGACATATTTCTCCATTGTGTTGTACATGACTGGAGTAAGTTTTCTTCATTTTCTTCGTTCACATTTTCTTTAATTGACCCCAAAAAGTATTTCTCAGTCATTTTCTTGCAGCTCGGCCTGTATTCTTCTTGTATTATCTGCTGTTAGAAAGCTTTTCCTTATCTTTCCCCTTCCAAATCCTTCCGTCCTCCTTTTTTCTTTGAATTAAATCTTCCTTTTATGCAGAATAATAAGTGGGAACATGTCATATATGAAAGCTGAAAGTAGATAAACGTGTTTTTTTTTTTTTTTCAGATAAACAATAAAACAACGTAAACAACGAAGGGAAGTTTACATCATAGACAATGAATATAGAAACATAGTCACGTTCTATGTTTCTATGTTTCTATATTCATTGTCTATGATGTAAACTTCCCTTCGTTGTTTATGTTGTTTTATTGTTTATCTGAAAAACAACAAAAAACAACCACGTTTATCTACTTTCAGCTTTCATGTTTCATGAGTAATCAAATCCTATTCTTTCATCCAGTATTGTAATTTTTCAGGTGTATCAAAAACAAAAGTTCTAGCTTTGAATTTCAAAATGAGCTTCACAGGGAAACCCCATCAGTAGTGTACATGGTTGGCTCTAAGAATCTATTAATTTTGCAAAAGTTTTCCTCTTTGATCTAGTGTAGAACAATATATCAGGGAAAATGTGTAACTTCTTGTAGGGCTCTTGTAGAGTCCCTTCTCTTGAAGATCATAAAATTTGCTCTTTTATACGAAAGGACGAACAACATATCAATACATCACAATTGCAATTTGAAGATATAGTTTGTGGTTTTGGTACTCTGTGCCAGAGTTCCATAAGACAGCCATATTTTTCTTTTGTAATGTTAATTTTTTTTGTTATTTCCTCTGGGATGTCTCTCAATTTTAAGTTATTGCATCTCGTCCTATCTTCTAGGTCAGCAGCTTTTTGTTCTAATGAGATCACTTTAGCTTGTATTTGTTGAAATTCCAAATGAGTTGAGATAAATTATGCTCTACATTTAAATTTTTTTCTGAATTTTCAGAGATCTTTGTGTTTATTGCTAGAAAGTCTTTTTTTATATTCATCTGTAAGCCGAAGGATTTAATTTTTTATTTTTTCAAATTGGATTTCCAGTGCACTGTTTAGTAGGTCAATGGTGACATTTTGTTTATCTGTGGATTCTTGTTTGTTTTTCTATTAAATCACTCTCAGCGCTTTTCATGGAGTCATCTGGGGAATCGTTTTGAAAAACAGCCTTAGGAGTGTGTGGAGTAAAAAAGGACGAGCGTTTGTCCAAAGAGTCTCCTTTGTTATCAGCTTTTTTATTTGTAGTTCTTTGATCTTGGGTCTTTCTGTTTGCCATATCATATTGCTAATCAAAATAGGGATAATAAAGTGCAACTTGTAACAACCTGCCTTAAAAAATATATATATTGTTAAAAAAAAATCTCTTTAAATTATCTTTGACAGGTTTTCTAGATTTAGTTTCAATAATGCAGAAGCACTGAACTTGTTAGTGGAGAGCTTCACCTGTGTCAAATTTTTAAGTTGGATATATCTTTATTCTATGTGGCGTAACTATAAAGTTCACAGTTTACTGGATATTTCTCCTTTTTTCTCTCCCCTTTTCTTTCCTTCTTTCTTTTCTATTCTTCCACCTTATTTCCTTTCTTCTTTCTGATTAATTTTGTGTAAATTAGGTTCAGAATTACACAGTATATAATTTTAATCCTGCAAGTTTTCTGTGTCTTGTTAGATATATCTCCCCTATTCACAGGGGTGTCAAGTTAGTCTTTTCTTTAGTGTTAATTATTCCACAGCCTTGCCTCTAAATATTTCTATTTCAGTATATTTTAATATATCAGGGGCTCTGGGCATAAAGGACTATCGTGGGGCACCCACAGCTCCCAATTCCCTCCACATCTCCACTTTATTTTCTGCTTGAGCGTATCTCTCCTGCTGTATGGTGGTCGTGACACTCGGTCTAGCCATCGGTGCTTTGCGCTTTCTTCACCTCTTCCAGTGCATCTTGCTGGCTTCTGCTTCATTGAGGTCTCTATGCGTCGGTTCGTTAGTCAGCTCACCATCAAGCACGCTGCTCGGGTCTCAAAACCGCGAGGGTAGCAAGCATGCTATGTCATCGCTCCACCCCCAGGAATATATATTTTAATATGTAGGGTAAAAGCTTCATGAACCAAGGAAAGATCTGACTGTAACTCTGAGGTTGAGTAGGATTTCTTCCCTAGTTTGTTGCAAAATTGGAATGTACTTCAAACTGTTTTTTTTTTCTTTTGGATCAACAGCAAAAACATATGTAAGAAAGATTGAACTTGATGAATGTTAGTCTATCTATTTTCTGCCTATATATCTATGTTATTGTTTTACTTTTGCTATCTTGTATTAATGTAAATGGGGAGAAATGGTAATTTCAATTTCAAAATACGGGATTTATCCAAAAATGAAAGGAAAAAGTCTGTGGGCAATTGACCAACCACTCACTCCTTCCACCATGATAAGAACAAAGCTTTCCCACATATCCAGCCTGAAGTGTCAGTGATAATCGTTCAGTGTGGGAAAAAACTGTGCCATAGCAGCTTCTTCCAACTGCATCTGTGGAGGTAGCAGGCACCACAAGACTCAGTCAAGCAGAGCAAAATCACGACAATGAAAAACATTTGAAAAAAGGGGGAGAAGCAGTAGGAGAAATGTAAATTGAATTTTATTTAATCTCAGCCAGCAAATGACACCCTACCTATCAAAGTGAAGAGCAGGTAACCCAGCTTGCAGAGATTAAACTGGAGAAAGGATATTTTCTCCATCAGTATGCAGGGACATTTGTAAGTTGAGGATATAGAATGTTTCCTGTAACAGAGAACACTTGATCACTTTAGACACTGGTGCACATGACAATAGCAACTGAGCAACCAGGCACACAGCTGGAGACACACTCTTCTTTTCATCCTAGTTGCTGAGAGGGTCATCAGTAGGAGGCAATGTACTTCACACGGGTAAGTTTTGACTATTTCCGAGACTCTACTCTTCTTACAGCTGCTTGCTGATTCACTTTATCCACTCAAGCCACCAACAAAATTAGCAGTTTCACTCCTGTCTTGCAGTTACAGAAATGATTACACCTTAAACACAGCTGCTGGGAGTAGTAGAAAATGGCGGCATATTAGGTTTAATGTACAATCTTCCTCAACCAGTATAGCTCTCTTTTGCTGCAAATCATTGAGCTTTGCCACTTTCCCCAAATCATATTATCACACATGGAAGCTAGCATCAGTTCAGAGGAATAAGCAAATTGATTGCACAGATGAGCATGCAGTAGATCTTTTTCAGTTTCTTGACCAATGCAGCGTTGTGGAGTGTGTCACCAGGATCAATTCCCTGTTTTACAGGAAGGTATCCATCATGCTTATGAAGTGAATAAACAAAAGTATGACCTGTCTAAAACTGTGTGGAATAAAAACCTACACTAGCTGCCTTATTATTGTCTAATTCTCAAAGCTCAATGGGGGGGTGG